TTATAACTGTAACCATTAAAAGTAATATGTTGTATTGTCACTAAAAATATTTTAATATTTAATAATTATATTTTAAAAAAATTATTTATTATAAAATTATGTAATTAGATATATTATTATTTAAAATTAAATTAATTAATAATTTAATATATAATGTATGAAAAAAAATTTGAGAATTTTATTAAATTATAGGAATTTTATTAATTTTAGATAAGATAAATTCTATATTCCTTTTCAAACAAATAAAGATAATTAATTTACTAAATGCATAAATTACAAAACATTCAGTAAATATATATAAAAAATACAACAAGTAACGTTGTCAAACTAAGTCATGCGGTGTACCTTTAATATTGTTAGAGAAAAAAATTAGTTAGATAGGTTGGAAAGTTGGTAAGGCAATATCTAAATGCAAAAGAAAAAAAAAAAAAAAAAAGCAACGTTAAAAAAAAAAAATAAAAAAAAAAAAAAAAAAAAAAAAAGAGGAAAAAACAAAGCTGAGGGTAAGCAAACCATAGGAGATGTTGGCATTCTTGAATTTCCGGAGGGAATTTTATTACGGGAACCCTTTATCATATGAAACATTACAAAAGTTTACCAAACTTTACCATTTGGTACAAGTAGAACCATGATCCTTATCATGTCCACTTACAGCATACAGCTTGATTAACGATTTTTGTTACAGAAAGTATACAATATGAAGATATTACATACTTTTGTAGTATTTGATATCAACGTACGTCCAGATACACAATCTCTGTAGAAAATTCACAATCAACGTGAAGACGTACGAGCGCTATGTTGACAAAGAAGACGAGCCTGAGGAATTGATAAAAGATATCCTCTGCCTCTTGTTCAGGAGTGTTGCTCTTGGTGAGTACTCAGGTGAGGCAGGAGTATTCTCCAGAACAGAACTCAAGGCGTGATGAATGGAATCTTTAAGAAGTTGGCATGCTTGAGCAGGGTCAACATGTACAGTTCTGCAGCTGCTAAAAACAAAATCATTCCTTATCCGGCCATCCAAGGTCGACATTTCAGCCTTTACCATCTTTAGTTGAAGATCTTCAAGAGCTTGCCGTAGGTTAGTCAAAAGCTCAGGATTATAATCACAGCAGATGGATGCTTTGAATGCAAATGTTCCTTCCATTTCATCATTTTCATCATTGCACTGCTCCACGGTCACTTTATCAGTATCCATTGGAATGAGGAAACCTTTACTGGCTTCATTTGCACTATTCTTTAGTTCTTTCACTTGCCTAATAACTTCAGCAAGCAATGTCGCCTTATCCATCTGCAGTTATAAATTGGACAGCAAGTTGAAGTCAAAGCAGGCCAGAAAATTATAGGCTATATACCATCTGGCAAGTAGAATTAACAAGGTAAATGGCTGCTAGAATCGCCTGCATATAACAGGTAGAAACTTCATAATTCCACAAGAAAAAAGATGCCTTCTTAAACCAATAGCGCTTGCAAAGATAACTTATAGCCTCACTGAGGATAAGAATTTACTATCTGACAGCTTGCCATGTTGACTCAACATAAATCAACTAATGAATAGGGCAGGAATCAGATCAGGCTAGTAATGACATGATAATAGCACAAGATTTTTCAAGAAAAACTTGAGTGAATCCTTTGACTTGGTTAATGATAAACAAACTTTGACAAATGCAGACAAGGAAAATAAAACAGAAGGACAAGGAACGATCTTAATTTTTCCAGATGTCTTTTCCTTGCTTATGTATCCCAACCATGATAAAATATGATTTTGATCAGCTAAGCAATATACATCTAATAATTAATTAAAATACTAAAGACATAGACCTCCTTGGGTATCCATGGCCCAACAAATAGCAAATGGTCCCACTATTCTAACGACTAACGTATATGTGGTTTCCTACCGAGCATAGTCTTTGATAGCAAAAATTTTATATAATATTATGATTAAAACTTGTCTTGTTAAATAACATGTAGTTCAGCAAAATAAAATAGTTGAACTTGCATGAAAGAGTTGTCAACCTCCATAATTGTATATGTTGTTTTGACCAAAGGATAATTAAATAAGATGGCAGGAAGCTTCCTTCAGATGATTAAAGGCAGGAAGCCTCCGTCAGATGATTAAAGGCAGGAAGCTTCCTTGGATGATCAATCTCATTTCCTTTCTACAATTTACTTACCTCATCAAACACGGTTAATACTGGACAACATAAACATATACACTGTCCTCCTCTTTTCTTTGTGTAAACTTCTTATTACGATGCAGGTCATTCCTGTAATCAAGCTTATTATATAACTGATTTGATTTGAAGATAAAGAACCAAACTCACACATCCAGAAAAACGAAAACCCAGCAAATACCAGGAGTGAAATGATGCAACTTAATTTGAACAGGTAAACATAACAGTTACAAGGAAAGATTCAAGTTGGGACCGCAAAAGTTGGTTTGAATTATAAGTAAACCTGAATATCATAGATATTCTACATATCACGTTATATGAAAACTAGTGCATCTTCCCAGTTGACTCACTTCTTGTAAATCCAGAGTTGGCATCCAAACGCACAAATAATGCAACAAAACCATTTAGGTTATACAGCATGGAATTAAAAATATAGGAATCAAACACTTACATAACATCAAATAAAAAATTTCCTATATAATACAAAGAAACAAAAAGAAGGAATTAAACAATATCAGAAGGCCAATTCAACATGAAGAACATCTAACTTCAAAAGACAGAGCTCGATGAATTTGATTAGAATGCCATAAAGATGATTCAAATTTAAAGGAAACACATGACACTGTACCAGAATGCCAATTTAATGGGATAACCTCTACCTTCATAACGCATGGGGGACAAAAAGCTTCTTTGATTTATATCAGAATGTTATAAATACAATTAAGTATACCAGGAAAAAGATACGTGAGAATATACTTCTCAATTCATCACTCATCATGAACCAGATTGCAACCTATGTCGTTAGCTTCTTATCAGCAATCTATAGGGATATTAACTGATATACTGACAATTGGAGCAAAAAAGAAAAAAATAGAGATTTCCTAATATCTGCCTTAATTCCTTCAAAGGAAACATTCGGATCATTATGACAACCTTGTCTTGTCTACCTAAGTTGTAAGATGCCTTTTTTTGTTTTCCATGATTCTTCCCTACAACCCCAAACCTTCCCAAGTTCTGAACTTTTTCTTTTTGGTTTTTTTTTTTTTTTTTTTTGGCTCGACCTTTTTATGCAGGGAGCAGATCGACCTGAATCAGCTAAAGATAGACATGACAGCACTAATTATGTCAATTCATAGCATGGTCCAATGTTATATCAAAAGTCCAGACTTCCCCCAATAGCATTTCCAAATAAAAATATTTCCAAGAATTGCTTCAAAATTTTATATGAACAAGTTAGAAAAAAAAGCAACCACCAAATTAAAATAAATTGAAATTACCTTTTCTCTGCAAGGCACAAGACCGCGAAGTGTATCAAGATGAGCATTGATCCTCTCCCTCCTCCTCCTCTCTGCCTCGCTGTGACTCTTCAAAGCCGCAATAATTTTCTCGTCGGAGACATTCTTTTTCCCCACACTCACTGGCATCTTTACGAGCTCCCCCTTCTCGCTATCCAAAACCAGAGACTGTGAGCCCGGCCTGCTTCTGCAACCTCTATCAAATGCACCAAAATCATACGGAAACGGATCAAAAGGACCCGAAAAACCATGCCCAGATGACGAATTCTTAAAGTAAGCAACCATCGAGACTAAGATTATCAAAGAGTTGTGGTTAAGAGCCAACGAGACCAGGAGGACGAGTGGCGGGGGCAAACCAAAAGGAAAGCTTTTGAAGAGGGAAGTTGGGTTGTTTGACGATTTTGTTGTTTCTGCTGATGATCAATGCTGCTGCTCGTATGGTGCTAGCTTCCATTACGCAAAAGGACAATTCTTGGGTAGGTTTAAAGGGGAAGAGATCAGTGAAAAAACATCCACATTTTCTTCTCGATGGTCTTGAATTCGAGCATTTCTTCGAGATGGGTGAGTGATTCTTGAGAGTTTTGAGGTGGGATTTCTGGGATTTCGATGAAAACGCAGGAGGAAGGGGACAAAGGAGTCAATGGCGATGGGTTTAACGGTTTGAAGAGCCCAACCAGAGAGGAGCGAGAACGAATTGTTGCAAATGGGTGGGACTTTTTGGTGGTATATATAATGGCAGAGACGTAGATAGGACGTGGACAGGACGATTTGGGTTCAAAGATTTCTATAATTACCAATTTATCCGAAGTTTTTTTCTTTT